ATGGGGTATATATAAGCATGCCAAGTATATAATTATGATCAGCAATGGTGCCTTTTTCAAAAAAAAAAATTAAATATAAACCTAATTCAAAAGTTGGAAAGTTATTACAAGATACTCAGGTAATCTTTAAGCCCCATTGGACTTGTGTTTTATGTTTTGGTACATATGCGCTATGCAGTAAAAAGCTATTAGTTAGATTCATTTGTTTTAGATAGTAAAATCTTTCATAAGAAAGTTTACATAACCTGTGCATTTTATCAGAAAGAAAAAAAAAACAATTTCATAGCATTAATCTTTTATGTATTATATAAATAATATCTGCTGGGTAAACAGGTCAGGTAGGCCACGGGGAGAAACTACTGTAGATGTACTTTTTTCCAGGGCTTGTAATTCAGCGGAAACTCAATTTCTGTATAATATGCGGGTAGAAAATTACGCAGATTTTCTAGATTGTCACTATATGCCTTACTTTTATTAGCTCACCTGAACCAAAGGCTCAAGTGAGCTTTTCTGATCACATTTTGTCCGGCTTCCATCTGTCTGTCAACTTTTCACATTTTCGACTTCTTCTCAAGAACCGCTGAGCCAATTTCAACCAAACTTGCCATAAAGCATCCTTGGACGAAGGGGATTCAAGTTTGTTCAAATGAAGGGCGACGCATTTATTCAAGGGGAGATAATTTGGAATTAATGAAAATTTGGTGGTATGGGTTAAAAATCTTCTCCTCAAGAACCACTGTACCAGGAAAGATGAAACTTATGGGGAAACATCCTCAGGTAGTGTAGATTCAAGTTTGTACAAATCATGACCCCCGGGGGTAGGGCGGGGCCACAATGGCCGACCAAAATTTTACATAGAAATATATAGGAAAATTTTTTAAAAATCTTCTTCTCAAGAATAGCAAAGCCATAATTGATCATATTTATATGGAAGCATCCTCAGGTAGTGTAGATTCAAGTTTGTTCAAGTCATGACCCCGGGGGTAGGGCGGGCCACAATGGCTGATCAAAGTTTTACATAGTCATATAGAGGAAAATTCTTTAAAAATCATCTTCTCAAGAACAGCAAAGCCATGATTGGTCATGGGACTACTTTTGGATTTAAACTTTTCAATAATAAACCATTTTCTACTCTTTCCTAGCCATAGTGCTCAGGTGAGCGATGTGGCCCATGGGACTCTTGTATTAAGTACACTTGGACAAATTTCTGCGTAAAATTTGTGACCGCTTACATAGCGTAAATTCATATCATATGGAAAAATTTAGTACTTCTTTAGTATATGGATCCAATAATAAAAAATACACAAGTGATCAAACTCTTTATTCACCTAAAGAAATACCTGAGTTAATGTAAATGTAATTTTTAATAATTATAAATTGTAATTCCTACATTAAGTTATCTGGCCATGTTGGATGACAATCAAATGCAGAATTCCTAATCCTTTAACTTTACTTCTTTCCAACAAATTGTCATTTCAAAATGCAAATTTAAGAAAGAGCCATACAGCAAAACAGTTATAACGAATTCACTGGGATCTTTGAAATTACTTCACTATATCTGTAATTTGTTATAACCATATAAGAAATTCATTAAATTTATGTAGATGGGGATTCAAAATGACTTCGCTATATCCGTGAATTCTCAATATCCGTGTTCGTACTAAATGAGTTTTACTGTACTTGGGTTCATTTCTGAGGAAAACTTTTCCAACTTTAGATATTAACTAATTTAAAGCAATATGAGCTGTATCTTTGAGAATTTTATTTTGCTTGTAAAATGTGCTATTATGGTTCATTTGTATGTAATTTAAACCCTTGTGACCAATAAGCCCAAAATAAAGTTTTAAAATGTTTCAGAAGAAATATTTCAATACAACTGAATATACAGTTTTATATAAGAAATCATTATTGTACAGGACGACAATAATTCAATTTTGCTTCAATGAAAGCTAATGAAAAAAATTCCATCGCAAATATGAACAACATAAGTTTATAAATTATTTATTTTTCTGTCATTAAATTAGTTAATTACATATTTGCAATAAAATTTTCCGATGTCAAACATGCAGCTCATATTGCTTTAAATAAAGCATATAAACGGGGGTTAGATCTTGCCAAAGACTTAAACTTGGCAAAAGAATAAAGCACTTTTCAAGATTGAAACCTCCTCTGGAGTATGCATTGGCATATAGCATTATTAAGTAGCAAATTGGCTTAATGATATCATAAAGTGGGTAGGGCTTCCCCTTCCATTAATTTTAAACATACTGATATGAAGTTACCGGTAGTAGTAATTTTACCAGAACATTAAAATGGTTGCAGCATTAAGTGATTTTCCTCTCTATACCATCCTTTTGTCCATTTTTATATATATATATATTAATATCATTGTATGACATCTGGTGATTATGGTATGTTGAAAAATTTTATTAAAATGATGTATCTGCTTAATTTAATGCCATACACAAAGACTCTTCTTCTTTACCCCTGGTCATCCAGCAATCAAGCAAGATAATGATGAGCACTGGGACAACCATCAATATTTTGTAGTTTTTGACACCTTGATCGGTGGTTCCAGTGCAGGGCTCTATTAAATATGTATAGTGAAAACCATTGACTCTTTTCAAAAAATCTTCTCTCACTTTATGGTTATGATGAAGAAAGGGTTCAGCTCCAAAAATTGTGAAATGCCAGGGCTAAGGGTCAATCACTTTTATGATAGGGGTTTTATTAATCATATAGTGTAAAGCATCTTGTATATTTATTAAAAACCTTTGTCGTTCCTTCCGTACGCTTTGCAGACAGGTAAAGTGTACCAATGTTTTTACAATATTCAATGCATTTCCTATGTAAAATGTTGATAAAATGGTCCTATATTATTTTTAAGCATAATTTTTTTCTAAAACCAAATTTATTTCAATAAATCGTTTAATATATTTATAACAAATGACATTGATTAAATTACAATGCAAGAAAGAGTGTTATATATATTAGACAGGAAAGTTAAATATCATTGGATTTTTTATCAACAAGATATACTTCAATTTATATTATGACTTCTTAAAGAAAACAGAATACATATATCAGGGATATATATATTTTTTTTGCATTGTCTACTTTATATAAAGGGTTGTTGATATAATAATAAATTTATAAATAGTGACTAAAGATTAACAAAATCCTGTTTGCCAATTTTTCTACACTGAAAATGTTACTTTAAAAACTTGAAAGGCAATATAGCCTTGATCATTAAACATTAATTTTCCAAGGATTTACATAAAAATAAAGTTTTCAATTACTTATCTTCATCAAAGGCTTTGATTTCTTGAATTAATTAACAGTTATATATATACAATACAGATTGCAAATATGAATAATAAATGCAGCATTCATTTTATCTGATAACAAACAGTAGATTAGTCTAAATAAGCTGCAGAACTATAACGTTATCGTTTTATATTTAAGTCTCTGCATGACCATACTGCAGTAGCGTTATGGTCAAAGATTAAAATATACTCAGTTTTTATTTATCAAGGCTACATTGCCTTTCAAGTTTTTAAAGTAACATTTTCAGTTTAAAAAACACACAGGGGTGGGGATTTTGTTACCTCTAAGTCACTAACACAATTTATTATTATGTCAACAACCCTTTATATAAAGTAGATAATGCAAAAATATATATATATGATATATTTTTATAATATTGAAAAAGTCATAATATAAATCTTTTTTCTGCTGACAAAAAATCCAATGATTATTTAACTTTCCTTCTAATATATACATTGTATAACATCTTTCTTGCATTGTAATTTAATCAAATGACACATTTGTTATAAATATATTAAACGATTTTATAGTAAAAATGCAATATCTCTTTGAAAATCTTTTTCTCTGCTCCCACCATCCAGTTTACAAACTCTATTGAGATCAGAGTTCACTGTAGAGGCTTAACTTTCAATTTTGAACCTCAGTGTATTGGATCTGATGAATTAGTTTACACTATCAGTATAGGTAGTACATATGTATTAAAAATAAAGTAATTTAAAGAGGGGCAAAAAGTGTTAGGTGACACTCTGTTAATTTTATAGTAAAAATGCAATATCTCTTTGAAAATCTTTTTCTCTGCTCCCACCATCCAGTTTACAAACTCTATTGAGATCAGAGTTCACTGTAGAGGCTTAACTTTCAATTTTGAACCAAACGTGTCTGGTCCATATTTTACACTATCAGTATAGGTAGTACATATGTATTAAAAATAAAGTAATTTAAAGAGGGGCAAAAACTCCACACAAAGATTGCCCATGACCTCGAAGGGTGGTCATGACCTTGTCCAAGGTCATTTGGTGAAGTCGGTCACTGGAAGAAAAATTTCATAATTCGTGTCCGGTCCATATCTTTCTTACGGATAAATTTGGTAGGTTCTCATTTCACACAAAGATTGCCCATGACCTTAGGGTGTGTCATGGCCTTGACCCAAGGTCATTTGGGGAAGTTCAAGGTCATTGGAAGAAAAATTTCATAATTTGTGTCCGGTCCATATCTTTCTTATGGATAAACTTGGTAGGTTCTCATTCCACACAAAGATTGCCCATGACCCAAGGGCTTGTCGTGACCTTGACCCAAGGTCATTTTGGGAAGTTCAAGGTTACTGGAAGAAAAATGTCATTATTCATGTCCGGTCCATATCTTTCTTATGGATAAACTTAGTAGGTTCTCATTTCACACAAAGATTGCCCATGACCCAAGGGTTTGTCATGACCTTGACCCAAGGTCATTTGGTGAACTTCAAGGTCACTGGAAGAAAAATTTCATAATTCATGTGTGATACATATCTTTATTATGGAAAAGCTTACTTCTGAAAAACCCGGGGGGGGGGGGGGTATTTTGTCCCGTTTGGACAGTTCTAGTTTTCTCAAGAAATTCAAGAACTCTAATATATGATATTTTAACTTCTATGTTTTTTAAAGTGATATATAATAATTATTATATGTTATTTTTAGTGTTTCTCATAAGAACTTCTGGATGTCTGCAGATGCCTTAGATGAAGGAAAAAATAGAAAACTGAAGGAAATAATAAATGACTACTTTGAAGGTCAGAGTCTGTTGAATCAGTACAAGGAAAAAGAAACAGAAGAAAAAGAACAACAGGTAAATTAAGCCACACATTGAAGTGAGAGGTAGCTTAAAAGAACCTGCTTTTCCTGAATATAGTCTGATCATCTTTTTTATCCTGAGATGGAAGACTCATCTTTTTAATTTTAGAATTTGTTGTTAAACTGTTTAGATGTTACTTTCCTTCAGAGTCTCAAAAAAATTAATATCAAAGCTAATTCACTAGTAACATTCTTGGAGCCTCCGTATGCTTTGAATTCTCACAGTCTTGAACTTTTAAAATGACAACAATCAAGGCCTTTGTGGTTTTAAAAATATACTCGTAAAATCATGAAGTCCTTTAAATACATATATACCTGTCAAGGAAGAATGTGAGTATTGAAGCTTTTATACATGAATGCTTGTTTTGGGAAAAAATACTGCAAACAACAAATGGAAAAAAGCACTTTCGGGTAAAGCAGTGATTCACTGCCCAATATTTTCAGGCATTCCATGCACAGGGGGATCATTTCCAGTTAAAAGAGAACTAAGCATATAATCAGTAGAGATCTCTAATTTGATCTCAACTTTTAGTGAAGCAATGAGGTGTATAACATCGGGTAAAAATAAAATCTCAAGGGAACACATAGAGTGAAAAAGAAAGATCATAAAAAGGATTGCAAAATTAAGCAAAAAAGACTGAATTTAATGAATTGGGGGTTTATAAGGTCAGGGCTTCTGTTTACTCTTTGGAGAAAACATAGAATAAATAGAGGATCATGGTATCAATCTCAATCAGGAAAGGAAATGATGCCATGATCTCCAGAGATAGAGTAATTTGTCGCCATGAAGTAGATTCTTGAATGAATGCTGAACTATTTCTTGGACACATAAATTGAATTATATTTGATGTATTTCTTTTGTTTAACAAATAAATTAACCTTTTAAGAAATATACTCTTTGTACTTTTACCTTGGGAGAATCAAAGGCTTTTTACTGATCATTTGTGTCCATCGTTGTAAAACTTTTAACAGAAACACGTCTCCAAAGCCATTAGACCATTGTCAGCTAGTTTCTGCACACAGTCAAGGTTCCCATTCATATATTAGAAAAGCCATCTCCCTTTGAAAGATTTTAAAGATAAAATACCAAGAGTGAAATTAGGTTTCCAGGCCATTATCTTCTTTAGAGAAAATTGACCTAAAATTTCAAATCACACAGCTTAGTTTTTTTCCCTCAAAATATATTTATTGGTTACATGCAGGTATGTTTTCCTTTTCAGGAAAATAAATGAAATCAAAGCACTAGTATATATCAAAGATTTAGAATTACTCCTTTTTGATGTAAAAAACATGACTTTATTTAAAACCAGAGGCTCATTTAATTTTTAAAAAGTTTTTCCAAGATATTATCCCTTTGATCTTTGATTAATTGGTTTCAAGGTTTTTTATTTAATGAAAAGTTATAAATTTTAAATATTATATTTAAGAACCGGAAATCAAAGATAGGGAAATTCTTAAAAAGTTGCATACAGTAAATTCAAATTCCAAGGTAACTAGACAAGTATAGGCCTAGGAACTAAGACATTACCATAATCAGTCTATTGTGGAGGAAAACAATGTGTTTTCACATTAGCTGCATTGTTCTTGAAATATTGATCCTTATGTTTTGTAGATTTTACTTTTAAGTTAAGATTTGAAGCAGATTCAAATTCACCACAAGAATGTAGCAATGTTGATTCATGTATTATTGTCGACTACCTCCTGAAAAAAGGAAACACATCCATTTTAGTTGTAAACTGATCTCAAAGAATTATATGACCAGTGGAGAGGGGATGCTAACTCTTCATGGCACCTGATCCCATTTTTAATGTTTTAGGAAGTCCCTGTTTGCTCTGCTCTTGAGTTATATTGTTTCTCAACAGACTTTTGAACTTCGTCATTGTTTATCTCTGTATATTTTTAAAACAAGAGGCCCATGGGCCACATCGCTCACCTGAGAAGCTTTGACCATTCTGTTCTATACCAGATTTCCCCATTGTTATACATAATGCATCCCCACCCTACCCCACTGATCATAATTTAGACATTTTGAAATCTACACTACCCCATGATCCTTCCATGGGCACACATGTTTCAGCTTTTTTGGCCCAGTGGTTCCTGAGAAGATTTTCAAAGATTTTTCCTATATATTTCTATATAAAACTTTGATTCCCCATTGAGGCCCCGCCCTTCCCCCGGGGGTCATGATTTGAACAATTTAGAATCTACACTATACCAGGATGCTTCCACCTAAGTTTCAGCTTTTCTGGCCCAGTGGTTCTTGAGAAGAAGATTTTCAAAGATTTTTCCTATATATTTCTATATAAAACTTTGATTCCCCATTGTGGCCCCGCCCTTCCCCCGGGGATCATTATTTGAACAATTTAGAATCTACATTATACCAGGATGCTTCCACATAACTTTCAGCTTTTTTGGCCCAGTGGTTCTTGAGAAGAAGATTTTCAAAGATTTTTCCTATATATTTCTATGTAAAGCTTTGATACCCCATTGTGGCCCCGCCCTTCCCCCGGGGGTCATGATTTGAACAATTTAGAATCTACACTATACCAGGATGCTTCCACATAAGTTTCAGCTTTTCTGGCCCAGTGGTTCTTGAGAAGAAGATTTTCAAAGATTTTTCCGATATATTTCTATATAAAACTTTGATTCCCCATTGTGGCCCCGCCCTTCCCCCGGGGATCATTATTTGAACAATTTAGAATCTACACTATACCAGGATGCTTCCACATAACTTTCAGCTTTTATGGCCCAGTGGTTCTTGAGAAGAAGATTTTCAAAGATTTTTCCTATATATTTCTATGTAAAGCTTTGATTCCCCATTGTGGCCCCGCCCTTCCCCCGGGGGTCATGATTTGAACAATTTAGAATCTACACTATACCAGGATGCTTCCACATAAGTTTCAGCTTTTCTGGCCCAGTGGTTCTTAAGAAGAAGATTTTCAAAGATTTTTCCTATATATTTCTATGTAAAACTTTGATTCCCCATTGTGGCCCCGCCCTTCCCCCGGGGTCATGATTTGAACAATTTAGAATCTACATTATACCAGGATGCTTCCACATATGTTTTAGCTTTTCTGGCCCAGTGGTTCTTAAGAAGAAGATTTTCAAAGATTTTTCCTATATATTTCTATGTAAAACTTTGATTCCCCATTGTGGCCCCGCCCTTCCCCCGGGGGTCATGATTTGAACAATTTAGAATCTACACTATACCAGGATGCTTCCACATAAGTTTCAGCTTTTCTGGCCCAGTGGTTCTTGAGAAGAAGATTTTCAAAGATTTTTCCTATATATTTCTATGTAAAACTTTGATACCCCATTGTGGCCCCGCCCTTCCCCCGGGGGTCATGATTTGAACAATTTAGAATCTACACTACCCCAGGATGCTTCCACCTAAGTTTCAGCTTTACTGGCCCAGTGGTTCTTGAGAAGAAGATTTTTTAATGACCCAACCCTATTTTTGTCTTTTCTTGATTATCTCCCCTTGCGAGGGGATATGTCCCTTCATTTTAACAATTTAAATTACCCTTCATCCAAGGATGCTTTGTACCAAGTTTGGTCAAAATTGGCCCAGTGGTTCTTGAGAAGAAGTCGAAAATGTGAAAAGTTTACAGACGGACGGACGACGGACAAAATGTGATCAGAAAAGCTCACTTGAGCCTTCGGCTCAGGTGAGCTAAAAACATGCTGTTGCTTGAAACTGGAAAGACATTTAGATCAGGTTTAATAAGGAGTTTTGCTTCATATTTCTTTGTCAGAATTGAAAGAATAAGATGGCTAGTGGTCAAAGAAACATTTTTCAATACAGTATCTATCTGATTACAGGTCTGCCTGAAGAGATAGATTTAACTATCAAAAGCTTTCTAGAATATTGGTAATTTGTATTCTGCTAATGAAGTTTTATTAATCTATGAGGAATAATCTCATGATTTTTTTTCTGATTTGCCAGATGCTTCAGGTTAACATTATTAATTTTCCCATTTTTTTGTCATTGAATAAGGAAATAAACTGGAATGAACTGGAACCCAGTTGACCCTTGTTTTATTTTGATTTTCTAACTTACCAGATGCTTGTGGTTAACACGGTCGATAAATCTTTTTAAAAAAATTTCATTGTATAAGGATATGATTTTTGAACCCATTTGACCCTTGTTTTCTCATGATTTTCTGACTTTACCAAATGCTAGAGTTTAAAACTGATAATTCCCTATTTATTTTTTTTTCATTGTATAAGGAGATAAATTCGAACCCACTTGACCTATGTTATCTTCCCTTTATTTCCATTCGAAGCTTATAGAGTATACCTGATCCTCTCCTTTCTTGTAGCCCTCACCACAAGAGGTCGGTCAAGCCATTGCAGACATTCGGCAGCTGGTCTGTGTCCATGGCCATGAACACAGATTTAACGGACGAGCCGTAGCACGCATCTTCCATGGCATCAGCAGCCCCTGCTTTCCTGCTCAGGTTTGGGGACGTGCCCGGCGATTCTGGAGAAGTAACATGAACTTAGACTTCAACTTCCTTGTCAAACTAGCCGTGCAAGAACTTATTAAACTTAAGTAAATGAGTCAGAAATACATTCATGTATATTTATATTGTTTATTTATTTTTAGCTCTACTGGTCAGAGACCAGAAGAGCTTATGCGATAGTAATGCGTCCGGCGTCCGGCCGTCTGTCCGTCTGTCTGTCTGTCTGTCCGTCTGTCTGTAAACAATTTTTCAAAATGCTACTCCTCCTACAGTTTTGGTCTAATTTCAATATAACTTGGCACACAAGTAGACTACACTAAGATACATAATTCTGTGTATCGGTTTTTGATTTCGGTGAACGGTGTTGCCGTGGTTACTAAAAATAGAAATTTCTGTGAAATTCTTTCAAAACGCTACTCCTCTTACAGTTTTGGTCTGATTTTAGTATAACTTGGCACACAAGTAGACTACACTAAGATACATAATTCTGTGTATCGGTTTTTGATTTTGATGAACGGTGTTGCCGTGGTTACTAAAAATAGAAATTTCTGTGAAATTCTTTCAAAATGCTACTCCTCCTACAGTTTTGGTTTGATTTCATTATAACTTGGCACACAAGTAGACTACACTAAGATACATAATTCTTTGTATCGGTTTTTGATTTCGATGAACGGTGTTGCCGTGGTTACTAAAAATAGAAATTTCTGTGAAATTCTTTCAAAATGCTACTCCTCCTACAGTTTTGGTCTGATTTCAGTATTACTTGGCAAACTAGTAGACTACACTAAGATACATAATTCTGTGTATCGGTTTTTGATTTTGATGAACGGTGTTGCCGTGGTTACTAAAAATAGAAATTTCTGTGAAATTCTTTCAAAATGCTACTCCTCCTACAGTTTTGGTTTGATTTCATTATAACTTGGCACACAAGTAGACTACACTAAGATACATAATTCTGTGTATCGGTTTTTGATTTCAATGAACGGTGTTGCCGTGGTTACTAAAAATAGAAATTTCTGTGAAATTCTTTCAAAATGCTACTCCTCCTACAGTTTTGGTCTGATTTCAGTATTACTTGGCAAACTAGTAGACTACACTAAGATACATAATTCTGTGTATCGGTTTTTGATTTTGATGAACGGTGTTGCCGTGGTTACTAAAAATAGAAATTTCTGTGAAATTCTTTCAAAATGCTACTCCTCCTACAGTTTTGGTCTGATTTCATTATAACTTGGCACACAAGTAGACTACACTAAGATACATAATTCTGTGTATCGGTTTTTGATTTCGATGAACGGTGTTGCCGTGGTTACTAAAAATAGAAATTTCTGTGAAATTCTTTCAAAATGCTACTCCTCCTACAGTTTTGGTCTGATTTCAGTATTACTTGGCAAACTAGTAGAATACACTAAGATACATAATTCTGTATATCGGTTTTTGATTTTGATGAACGGTGTTGCCGTGGTTACTAAAAATAGAAATTTCTGTGAAATTCTTTCAAAATGCTACTCCTCCTACAGTTTTGGTTTGATTTCATTATAACTTGGCACACAAGTAGAATACACTAAGATACATAATTCTGTTTATCGGTTTTTGATTTCGATGAACGGTGTTGCCGTGGTTACTAAAAATAGAAATTTCTGTGAAATTCTTTCAAAATGCTACTCCTCCTACAGTTTTGGTCTGATTTCATTATAACTTGGCACACAAGTAGAATACACTAAGATACATAATTCTGTTTATCGGTTTTTGATTTCGATGAACGGTGTTGCCGTGGTTACTAAAAATAGAAATTTCTGTGAAATTCTTTCAAAATGCTACTCCTCCTACAGTTTTGGTCTGATTTCAGTATTACTTGGCAAACTAGTAGAATACACTAAGATACATAATTCTGTGTATCGGTTTTTGATTTTGATGAACGGTGTTGCCGTGGTTACTAAAAATAGAAATTTCTGTGAAATTCTTTCAAAATGCTACTCCTCCTACAGTTTTGGTTTGATTTCATTATAACTTGGCACACAAGTAGAATACACTAAGATACATAATTCTTTGTATCGGTTTTTGATTTCGAGGAACGGTGTTGCCGTGGTTACTAAAAATAGAAATGTCTGTAAAATTGTTTCAAAATGCTACTCCTCCTACAGTTTTGGTCTGATTTCAGTATAACTTGGCACACAAGTAGACTACACTAAGAACATAAAGAGACTTTATCAACGATCATTATTCTATTTAGTTTCAAATCCCAGCTGCTTAAGTACTTTTCTCTTCCTTTGCTATAAGTTCAAACCAGTAGAGCTTCAGTCTCGACAGAGACTTCTGGTTTTTATCTTTAGTTAGTATATCATATGATGTTATATATGTGATATTTTCAATGTAATTTACTAGTGTATTATAATTTTATAACAGTTATAAAATTATGTTGTAATAATTACAGGGACAGAATTGGCATATATAGTAGATTGATTTGGTATGAGGAGGTTAAATATTAACATATACATGTACATTGGTTATAATAAATTAGTATAGACATATTAATAGTATTCCATCTTTTTGAAACAATGTACATATAAGGCCATAAAAAATTAAATTCTTGGTTCTCAGGCCCTCCCTCATCTCTTCCAAGGGTGCCTCATTGACCCATTTTATTGCAAAATCAATAAAATTAAAACAAAAAATCACCTCCTTCATCATTTTTTGAGGTTTTGTACAATGTAAAAAGAAGCTGCCTCATCATGTTTTGGGGGCAATAAAAAAGTAAAAATAAAAATGCCTCCCTCCTTCATCATATTTCTTGAAAAAAGGCCTGAAAACCAAGGAATTAACTTTGCATGGCCTAAACCAAAAACATGGATTTTGTTTTCCTTTATCATATGGATAGAGTCATTTTCCAATGAAAGTAAAACATGGTTATATTGAATTATATATTTAATTTTCTATTCATTACTAATTAATTGATTAAAATACCCATGGACCAGTGAAGTACCTGACTAAAACCAGTTCAAATGACAGCTAGGTGTGTACTTAACTATCTGTATTGTACAGTTTTGATTCAGCTGGGGTAGTATGCTGATGTGTATGTGTGTGTGGAATAATGATGATGATCCATTTACATGTGCTTTATTAAAATTTGCTTCTTTTTCTCCACTCACTTGACTGTGTATACAGTAAAACTCGGCTAGAGCGAAGTCCTGGGGACCTATGAATTTAATTCGCTAAATCCGTAATTCGTTATATCCATACAACGAATTCGTATAACCATTATAGCGAATTCGCACTATGCATGTTTTCTTTCAAGTATTACTACCAACTATGTTAGTGAAGCAAATATAAGAAAACATATCTTTGATAACTAAGGTTTTCTTATGAATTGAGTTTTGTATACAAATGCTAAAAGGAAATAAAGTTCAGTTTATCTTTTTTTTATAATCTTTGAAAGTTTGTTATAAAAGATGTAAATTTCATTATATTCAAACTCAACGGGACTCAAAATCGGTTCGCTATATCCGTAAATTCGTTATATCAGAGTTCGTTATAACCGTAAAATTTTACGAAGATTTGTTAAGAATTTTGCCGGGGACCTCGAAAAACTTCGCTATATCCGTGAATTCGCTATATCCGTGTTCGTACTAAATGAGTTTTACTGTATTTTCTAATTTATACTGTATGCAGATGAAGTAATATATTTTTTTTATGGATATTACTTTTTCTGATAGAAAATTATGCTCGTAAAATACTTCATTCATTTTGTTGTACAGGTTGGTGACTGAATAGAACTGTATTACAAATGCTGGCAATAAGATCTACATACATGCATGATTCTGTACATTCCTCTATATTTTATATTTTGTTGTGGTCATTGTTGCTAAAATAATTTCACTATGTGTTTATAGTGTTTCATTTAATGAAAACTAAGAAAATTGACCTTGATGAGCCTGTTAAACTGATTGCAACTTATTCAAGTGAGGTATGAAGAACCAGTTTTTAATATGTCATTAGTCTAGAATTCAAAAGTTGTTCTAAGACATTTTTTTTTTCATTTTCCTTTGTTGCTTAAAATTTCAGGCCAGTGGACATGCAATAAGTTGTAAACCAGAACTTTTTAGATGCTTATATAATTATTCCTGTAGATTAATTGATTTATAAAATCACATATCAGATAAACTTGCATTCGGCTGTTTAACTAAGGCAATACATTTAATTTGATGAAGGAGAGAATATTTAATGGAAAGTCTTCATCAGCTTATATATGTATTTTTGTAGTTTATTCATGTCATTATAATTTATTTTTTCAGTTATATATAAAGTAGAAAGTTTTTTTGTTGCTACTTAAGTTGCAAAAAAAAAAAATTAAAAATTTTGAGTTAAATATGTTTTTGTATAGATTTTAGCCTAATTCTTATCTTTCACCCTTAAGTTGACCTTGGAAAAATCATTAAAAAACTTTCTGTCCTTTGAAAAAATCAATTAAAACAATTCAATAGCCTTTTTAAAAAAGAGACAGTTTATGACATCTATGCATATAAGACTGGTAATTTTGACCATTTACATACAATTATAACTTTTATTTTTGCATAATAATTGCCCTGAGAGAAGATAATGTCCAAGGACTAAATCTACATCTGCACGTGTGATGTAACTTTGACAAGCATGTTTGACTATAATGATCAATATCAGTTTCCCATTTGCCTGATGAATCTGAGGTTGACAGCTAGCTCAGGAGGGAACGTCCTCAGAAATCAAGCTTTGACAGAGAGCAAAAGGACGGAAAGGTTATTAATTAATTCTGCCTTCTCCTGAGCTGCTTAGAAGCTTAATACTGGCAGAGTATTAAAAGGTATGCTGTACATTTGTAGAAAACAATCTTTTTAGCTCACCTGAGCCGAAGGCTCAAGTGAGCTTTTCTGATCACATTTTGTCCGTCGTCCGTCTGTCTGTCCGTCTGTAAACTTTTCACATTTTCGACTTCTTCTCAAGAACCACTGGGCCAATTTTGACCAAACTTGGTACAAAGCATCCTTGGGTGAAGGGGAATTTAAATTGTTAAAATGAAGGGACATATCCCCTCGCAAGGGGAGATAATCAAGAAAAGACAAAAATAGGGTTGGGTCATTAAAAAATCTTCTTCTCAAGAACCACTGGGCCAATAAAGCTGAAACTTATGTGGAAGCATCCTGGGGTAGTGTAGATTCTATATTGTTCAACTCATGACCCCCGGGGAAAGGGCGGGGCCACAATGGGGAATCAAAGTTTTATATAGAAATATATAGGAAAAATCTTTGAAAATCTTCTTCTCAAGAACCACTGGGCCAGAAAAGCTGAAACTTATGTGGAAGCATCCTGGTATAGTGTAGATTCTAAATTGTTCAAATCATGACCCCCGGGGGAAGGGCGGGGCCACAATGGGGAATCAAAGTTTTACATAGAAATATATCGGAAAAATCTTTGAAAATCTTCTTCTCAAGAACCACTGGGCCAGAAAAGCTGAAACTTATGTGGAAGCATCCTGGTATAGTGTAGATTCTAAATTGTTCACATCATGACCCCCGGCGGAAGGGCGGGGCCACAATGGGGAATCAAAGTTTTATATAGAAATATATAGGAAAAATCTTTGAAAATCTTCTTCTCAAGAACCACTGGGCCAGAAAAAGTGAAGCTTATGTGGAAGCATTCTGGGGTAGTGTAAATTCTAAATTGTAGGAATCGTGACCCCCGGGGGAAGGGCGGGGCCATTATAAGGAAACAAAGTTTTACATAGAAATATATAGGAAAAATCTTTGAAAATCTTCTTCTCAGGAACCACTGGGCCAAAAAAGCTGAAACATATGTGCCCATGGAAGGATCATGGGGTAGTGTAGATTTCAAAATGTCTAAATTATGATCAGTGGGGTAGGGTGGGGATGCATTATGTATAACAAGGGGGAAATCTGGTAAAGAACAGAATGGTCAAAGTTTCTCAGGTGAGCGATGTGGCCCATGGGCCTCTTGTTCCATTTGATATATTGATGTACCAGGAAACTTCTCTGATACTTATTTAAAAAAACGCTTGAAAACCAGAGATTATTGATTTAAAAATCACATTCATTTACATATGCAAATTATTTAATTAAATAAAATTTAAAACTATCAAAATACATGATAACAAGTCAACTTTTTTTATACATTACTTGTGACTGATTCTACATTCTACTTTTTCTTTTACAATACCACAAATTGATGTTGCTAAAAGTAAGCTAATTTCTAAGAAAACCAGATATTTATTTTTTCTTGTAACATGGTAGTTCCACTGCCCTTTTTAGGGCTAGCTTTAGGTCATATCCAATTGCAACCCATCACCTCTACCCAAATTGAAATGAGCTATGGTCGGAGTTGAAATTCAATGGAAGCCCTCTTCTGTTGATGACTGACATATTTCTCCAGCTGGAAAATCCTGAATAATTAAATAAAAGGCTAAATAAATTGATCACCAGTGTTTATTGAACATTGCCATTTTTTATAATTTCTAAATTAGTGGCAAAATGTTAATTCCTTTCTCAAAGCTTTGGGCTCAGATCCCAACTGGACAAAGAACTTGATTCGGTTATAACCAATATTTGCCCCCCAAATAAAACTTTGATGGAGAAACCTAAAATTGGCTCTATTAAATTTTAAAGAAAACTGTCACTAATAAGCACAAACATTCTTCAACCACCATATGTGAACTCGAATATGAAGTATTTTAAATATATGATAAATAGAATACTACATACTAAAATCCATATCATATGTCACATCAGCCCTCGATATTTTGAGTAAAAATCACCGAGCGCATGTCTGATCAGCTCAATATTTTGATATAATGTGTAGAGTGATAATATCAATGAAATATGTAAATATTGTTCCTGAGCAAACTTGCGCTCTATAAATTTTAAAGCTAAAATTGTTGAAATTTTGTCCATTTTGTCCTCTTTCTAAAAAAAAAATGATATAAAATCGGACTTGTTTGTGACGTAATAAAAACAAAATTGTCAATAAACTAATTTGAAACTATAATATGTTCTGTTAATTTATATTTCTTATAAAATTTATAGAATTCAGTACATTTCAAGAATTTTTCAAAATTTAACTTGTGTGGGGGCAAAGATATGCAGTATACCGCATATAGTTCTTTGCTAATGCACCACGTGTTATTTTCATTTGTCAGTTGAAAGTTTTTCCTCATCGACAATAGAAACCTTCCCAATAGAGTGACGTTACAGATGTCGTGGTGTCATGTCAAGGCCCTTTAATGACCCTTTTCCTTGGAAACCAATTTCCTGATGTGTACTACGCACAATTTTTGTTAGAAAGACAATTACATTGTATATATAAAATACGTGATTGATTAGCATTAATGGTCGACGAGGTTTCAACAGATGCAGTGTCCAGTCAAAAAATCAAAAAATACATATGTGCGGCAATCTTTCATTTCACCCACTGCATTCACGCTCATATCGAGTTAACCCAACTTCCGGTTGTCCCAATTTTATTGTGAAACAATCTTCAGATGAGTACTTAGTGCTCTGGTTATCATGGAAAACATTTTTGTTTGTTAATCTATTTGCAATAAAGTACGGAAACAACAAACAGTATTCAAGCTCAAAGTTCATTTAAACAACACAAACCGGGGGCAGAGCAAAACATGAGAGGGGCGGGATCAGGTGCCATGGGGTAGTAAGCATTCCTTCCGACAGGGCAGTTATATATTCCTTGTCATGAGACTTGAAATCTTTATTTCAGTAATTTGTTGGCGAATATCTGACGTAAATTTGTAGAGTTTTAAGTAATCGCGTTCATCATAAAGTTTTGTTCTTAATTTGGTTACCATGAACGTGTTTCAGTAAAATATCATGTAATTAATTTTGTCACAACAGACGAAGATGTTGAGTCAGCCCTGGAATTCCATGATGCCATGCGTATGTATTATCCAAGTTTTATTATCAAACGTACGTGTAACTTATATAAGCAATAGTAAACTAAAGATTGAGTTGGTAGAACGAGTTTTCATGACTTAATTAATATAGTGTAATTTAACATTGTCATGTAGAAAAGAATATGACCTGTAGAACAACTTTTCTTTATTATCGGCAATGCGTATTGGTACACAAAGTTTATAATTATGTTCCCCAAACGGAGTTTGGGAACATATTGTTTTTACTCTGTTTCTTATTATGTTCCCCAAACGAAGTTGGGGAACATATTGTTTTTACTCTGTTTCTTATTATGTTCCCCAAACGAAGTTGGGGAACATATTGTTTTTACTCTGTTTCTTATTATGTTCCCCAAACGAAGTTGGGGAACATATTGTTTTTACTCTGTTTCTTATTATTATTATTATTTTTCTTCTTCCTGGGTACTTATTTGT